TTATATCTATTAGTTCTTATTACTATAAATAGCATTTATTAGCAATAAAGTAGTCTTTATTGTAATAATTTATACATATAAAATATTTATAAAAGCACTACTTTCTGACCCTTCAAGAAAGTTAAGTGTCTCTATATACTTCAATAGGAAGTGTCTTCATACACTTCAATAGGAAGTGCTCCTACGTTTCACCTAAGTGTCTTCATATACTTCAATAGGAAATGTTTTCATACATTTCATAGTTAATAAACTGAATGCAATATTTAGTATCTTCATATACTATTTATTGTTGCCTCTGCTTTAAAATCCCAAATCACACTGTATTGTGTTAAATCTTGTGTAGACTTTGTATTGAATCTGTCAAGTTATAGTCGTTATACTATAGTTAAACAGCTTCTGATATCACTGTAGTTAAAGGAAAAACTACAGGTTAACAACATATAATAAAAGTAAAAGTAATAACAAAAAGAAGATTCATAAGAACAATATCAGAAGAAGAATTAGCTTGCCTAATAATCTATAGTTATAAACTAAAAGATTACTCAATATATAATCTAGCAGTACAGTAATCAGGAATTGCTGAAACAAGAATACAAGAATTCTTAAAGAACACCAAAATAATTAAATCACAAATTTATTAAAAATGGCACAACCAGAAGTTAGATTTCCAAATCTGAAATTATTATACAGAATCAAAAATTTCAGTGGAAAAACAGCAGATTATATTCAATGGAAAAATGAATTAGAAATAAAATTTACAGAAATGAACATAGACAACACATTAACTATATTTGAAAGATTCAGTGAAAATTTAGATATAGAATATACCATACAACAACCTGATTATAACTCAGGAGCAGACTTACCAAAAGCATATTAGAATATAGAATTTTTCAAAAGAATAAGAACAGTAATATATACAAAATTACATAGAACAACTAGAAGATTATTAACAACAAACCCAAATATAAATTGTTACTTTAGAGTAATAGCAGACCAAAATAAACTGAATAATCTAAAGGATTCAAATAATTACCTATTAACACCTGGAGTAAATTATATTCAAGACACTTGGTATGCAACAAGAAATATAGGCAGAGGCCAATGTACACACCAAACATTTCAAATATCATTAAGAAAATTATTAGATAATGCATATCTAATAGATGAAATCCAACTAGGAAGACAAAAAGATTTTTAAAACCTTATATACAAACCAGACTATAGTATAGAAAATGATGTTACCAACTTCAAAAATAGATATGAAGAAACAATCACTGGTTTAAAAATTAAATATTACTCTAGTTAATATTTTGTAAATAAATTAATAATTAATTTAAATATTATTTATTTTTTAGCAAAATAAAATATTAATATATAAAGATGCAAATCATTAACTCTTTCTGACGATCACTTGTACCAAATTTCTGCTTCAAACATTTGACTCTTACTCAATATTTTATTAAGTAAACTGCTTTTGGATGTCTAAGTAAACTTGTTCCTAACACAATTTTACACTTAGGCGGCCAAGTTTTATATCTCTAAGTTCTTTTTCAACAGAGATATATTCAACAAACTAAAAAACGCTTCTATTCAATTTATCTCAATATTTTACTAGGTTAACTGCTCTGGTGACTTAGGACAAACTGAAAGAGCTCATTATCAGCTTCATTTTGATATATAAATCATCAAAAACGGCTTAAAACTGACTGATTTATTAAAAATTCCTTTAAACTCTCTTGCAAAACTTTACATTTTATTTTTACAATTTTTTTTTTCTATTTTTTGGGGGCTGCCTCTGGTCTGCCCCATCCAAACCCGCCCAAACAGGATTACAAATCAATATTACATTATCTGAGCTAATTTGTATTGTTTACAAATTTGTATTCTTTTAATTTTACACAACTTTTTGTTCAACGGCAATCTTGACTTACAGACCTGCAAGTGTTACATACTCTGTGTAATACTTATTTGGCACACCCTGTGTTTGTCACATTACATTATTTGTCACACCCTGTTATCTGTCACACCCTATTATTTGTTACACCCCTTATTTGTCACACCCCTATATCTTTCATACCGCCTCATATTCAAGTTTCTCATAATCTACTTTATTTTCATTTTTTAAGCCAAAATGCCAACTCTTATTAATAAAGACCCAGATTTTTATGATATCAACTATTATTATGGCAAATACAAAGTTCGTCATGGTGTAGGAATGATCAAGAGAAAACCTCAATCCTTACGAGTACTTCCTGCAGATGTTGATCTAACTAATTATGATACTTCTAAAAAACATCATTACTTTAAAGTTCCTTTACAACTTACTTTTGCTACATGTCTCTGTGGAGCATATCATACTAGTTTTACTTCTAGATTCTATAAAATTTCTCATTCTACATCTCTTGGTCGACCTACAACTCAAA